CAAAAACAAAAAAAAAACACATTTTTTCGGCATCTGAAGGTAGGAAGTAACCTTACAGTGCTACTGCGACGAAACGTTTGCAATTCATTTTCCAAATTTTCAGGTGTTAACTTCACATTTAGACCCTAAACTATAAGAATAAGCGTAAGTTTCTCAAATCTGACAACGTTATTCCTTAAAAACAGCGCCGCGAAGACATAAAAAATTCTTCCGCCATTGCTCGAATAACACACTGGAGAGCCCGCGAAAATAACTACATCGGTTTTAGTTGTGACTTCATCGACTCACTTCGACAACGTCGCGAAGGCATGCCTTTACAAGAAATGCGCAAAAGAAAGCTGGGGAACAATTCTTTCGAATTTTATTCCTTCTTTCCTGTGGAACCAGAAAAACAACTTTCTCTCGGCATACCAAATTAGCCATGTTTGTTGCGTCATTGACGTCACTTCCGTTCTCGACCCAGTTTCTTCTTCTTCGCGCGGAGTTCTGTAGTTCGAAGAATGGCGGCCGTTTAGATCGCAAATCTACAGGGAAAATAATATTACTTCTCAATGAAGTTTTGCCTTAAGATTTTGGCAAATTTGTTAGTTAGGGTAAGTACTTTCAACCTCTGAGGAGAAAAGAAAAGGTGCATTTTTGGTCGCAGTAGCACTTTAAGAGTTTTAGTTATAAAACTCACGGGAATGGAAATCAATCTTTTCAGGCATTGGTTGGGCTGGAAACTGTTCTTAAACTAAAACAGCTGTGTCGAGAAAAAGGTTGTGCTTTTGATACTTCAGCTAATGTTACTTGAGCTAGTGTCGAGCAGTCAAGTCATTTCAGAACACGCAAAGGCTCTCGGCAATACCGAATTTGAGGCCGTGAGAGATTTGATTTTACATCGAGCGCCAATTCTCAACACACCCTCCAGCAGTCGGTCATGATCACCTGTTCCGGGCATGACTATTCTTTTGGCGTTGGATGAAGGAGAAGGTCACAAAGTTGTGTTACATTCTAGAAGGGTTATTCAGCCATGCTAAAGGAATAACACGCTAGACTGATCGCAGAATTAGTAAGGCATTTTTTAGAACAAAWTTACTAGCTAACCCTATTTTCAGGTTTTCTTTTCTAAACATTATTTCGAGGCAGTTTTCCAAAATGTTGCATAGCGCCGGTCTAGTCAAACTGACAAAATGGCACGGCACGTTGTTCAAGATTTTCTTTAACTTCGTGGTTTGCTTGCAGAGACTTCATGAGGCAGCCATCTTTATTACGGCGGCTGTGCAAAGGAAGACAAATTAGCAGTTGCCACAAAGAATAATTTCCTATTACTTAGCGCGAGGGCCGTACTGAGGACTATTGGCCCGAACTCGTGTCAGTACGGAACGAACACAGTAAGGTCCATACAGAATTGGCCAATACTCCCCCATAAAGCTCGAGCAAGTAATGTTTCTAAGTATTGTATTTTATGGCACTCGGAAAAACATTTCTATCGATTTTTAATTTTCCGGCTTTTGTGGACAATAATACACGGCTTATGATCGCTTCCGTGGAAAAGGTGCGTATGGCAAAATCCCGACCAAGTTGGGGCCTGTTCGCACTACACCGAAAAATTTGGTTTGATACTTGCAAAAAAATTGAAAATTTTGTAACACCGAATTTTTTTTCGTAATAGCGTTTGCACTTAAGACGGGCGAATTATTTGTGTAACCACAAATGTCAATCAATTGAAATAGGTACCGAGATTTCTTGACAGCACGTTTCCTTAAATGTCGTTTCCGGTCAAAGGCTGTTGCAAAGCAAAATGCGCCCGCGAAATGTTTTAATCGCCCTTCTTTGCTGTTTGCTTGCCATGCAAAGCCTGATTTTGACTAGTCATCAGTTACTTCTAGTTTTCTTGGGATGGATTCGGCTTTTACGGATCCTGGAGAGTTTAATACAGGCATCTTTCTTCGGCATGAGGAAATGTCTCATACTTTGGACTTTTTCTCTTACCAGTCTCATCTCTAAATGGCGGTAATGGGGTTTCGTAGGTACATAATATCCTTTTGACTGGTATCAGTTATGAAAGATGATGACCAGTTGAAAAGTATCTGTCAAGGGACAATACATTTTCTCGCCCGACAAAAGATTGTAGGCCTCCGAAGCCAGTGAAAATTTTGGTGGGTCAAAAAAATCGTTCGCACTAAAAATGGTTTCGCGTTGACAGATTTTTTTGCAAAACAAACAAAATTTCGCGTGGAGCGAACAGGCCCTAAGAACTAATCAGACCGTTAGAATTTATCACAAGACAGTCATGCCATATAGTAATTAAATTGTTATAACCTTCAAGCTCAAGGTATTTTCATCAAAATTTTATTTTCTCGCTAAGCTTTTTTGGTTGAAAATCATGTCCTTGCAACCTTTTTACCTCGTGCTTGCGTTTTTCTGCTCGAAATTAAGTTTTGAAGCTTTAATAGTCAAATCAATTCCTGGTCAATAAATAAAAAGTCACGGTCACTGATCTTGCCTTTTGCAAAAGATGTGACAAATATATGAGGGTCTGTATGGGAAGGTGGCTTTCACGCCTAACAGTTGAAATTTTGGCAATTTTATACGGCTAATGCTATTTTTTTTTAACGGTTAACGTTTTTTTACGACTGAAGGTTAAAATGTGTCAATGTTCACGTCTAGCAGCTAGTTTTTTTGCCGCTAATAGTTAACTCCGTTGAGACCCACTAAAACCTGGCACTTGGGCAGGGCATTTGAACATGATTTTGGCCCAGGGGGACGGGAACTAATCTTCACAAGTTAAAATTCCTTAGGGGAGATGATGTTGAAGTTTCAATCGATCAACGCATCATTTTTTCTTCTGGCATAATAACTTTAGTATCCCTTTATCTAACCATCTGTTTGATAATTGCCGAAAAACCCTGTCGAAAAACCGCAAGAGGGAGAGAAGAAAATGTTTTTTTGTGATTGAAATAATTTCAGAATTGCGTGACAAATGCTTGACTATATTACATCTACAGCAGTATTAGGATTGCTTCTCGTCTTCGACGTCTTCAGCAAAGAACATTTGACCTACCAGTATAAATTACTGAATTGTCCCCTTTCAATTCCACAGTGAAGCTCAGTTTTACCCTAGAACTTTCTTAAAACTTAAGTGCGTTTGAATATGCCAAAAAAAAAAGAAAAAAAAAGACGCCCTCCGCTCGCTCACGGAATGTGACATTGTAAACAATTTCGCCATGGGAAATGGTGAGAATTTGAGACGAAAGTGGTGATGTCGTCGTTTGCTATGCAAGCCTAGCTTATTTTATTGATTTCCAGACCGAACACGGTACTTGCTGCCGAAATGTGCTGGGAATTCCAGAGTTAACCACAGGGTGGTTCATTAGATTATGTCGTGACGTAAACGCCGATGTTACAATTTTCTCAAAGTTTAGACTGGTTTTTTCGGGGGGAAATGAAAAGCCCCAAACTAATTTTTATATCCTCGAAAACAACACTATTTCCACTTATCATGAGCTTAACCTGAACCGATTATGAGTCATACCGCATGGGGAAAATGATAATTGAAAATTTGCTACGAGATGCGATATTTGGTTTTTTTGAAATATTGGTGATTTTCAAAACCTTTCCGTAAGCTCCAAATTAAATAAAATGGTCCCGTTTTATACTTAAACCATACCTCAATCCTTCCTATACAAATTTATAAAATTGATATGAGCTTGCTTGCTTTTGCAGTTTTGATGAGCAAAGTTCATTTTCCTCTACTCGGAGCACTGATTTCCGCCACTTTGCGGCTACCGACGCTAGTTTTAGATTTCGTGATTTTCTAGGATAAAGAAAGAAATCTGGGAAAAAAAAACCTTAGCACGTTTCTACGTTCGCTATAAGGCGTCTCTGACTGAAATATGAGGATAGTCATTTTTCGGTCGATGTGCCACCTCTCACGCGGTCTTGAAAACAAGTCGCTTTTAATTTGAGCTACATTATAAGTAACCAATTTGCAAGGCAAATTATGCCAGACTGAAAAAGATTAAAGAATTTAAATTTGCAAGAATTCATTCCATTTATGCTCTTAAAATATCTGAAACTAACGTAGAATTATAGTAAATTCCATATTGGAGCAATTTTTGTGCAAATAATATATGCATTTGTTTCTGCTGTTGCTGTTGAGTACAAGGAAATAGGCCAACATTATGACATAAGCATAATGTAATTTTATCTCGAGGCCCGTCATATATATAGTTAAGTATTTAGCTGTGCCTTTGCATGGGGCAAGGAGCGTTGTCAATCACAGTTCTTAGGCCAATCAAATGATATCAGATCAAATAGCACCAAGGTTATAGGCAAGGTCAGTTTCTCACCTGATCCTTTTTGTTTTTTTGTTTTTTTGTTTATTAAGACTCATTGCAGCAATATACAGAATAGCTGAATAATAGAGCTATTTACAAAACATATAATACTAAAATATAATACAATAAATCCAATAAATACTAGAAAGTATAACTGTACAAGCCACTAGGTATACATATACGTGACAAACTCTTGCGTGCGCTTCGTCTTACAAGTAGGACGCGTGGAGCGGCTATTGCCAGATATAAGATTATAATTATGCATAATTCTCGCCTTCATTCCCATCGTGTTAACATCCGAACACAGATTTTTGGTATTGTAGAAGAATTTCCCCGCCCCCTCCCCATGCTCCGGCCTTCTCTTCAGGTTTTCGTTGCCTTTTTATACGTATTTGGCTCTTTGCCGATATTTAACCCCACCTTTGCTTAAGAGACTGCGTAATGTTAATTATATCAATGTTCTTGATGTCGGGTGTAATAAAAGCGTCACTATTGTGGCCAATTTATCCCACATTAGCGTTATTATTTTTATCTCCCGTCAATCTTGTCAGGAAACTAGCGCGACGTCGCGCAGAGCTTCGGTCCCGTTTTAGTAGAGACACGCGGGTTTCGTGATAAAAAGTTCATGAATTATCTTATTATGAATGACTTAATGACCTTGTTACATTCTTCTCACAGTCGGACCTGAGATTACCCAGTTCACAACATCCGCTGTCCACCACAAAGTATGTCAGTATGGTGTTATCATCTTTAACTGTGCCGCCGATGCCTGCCCACCTGTGACGTCATACCAACTCTTCGAGAATGACATTGCTGTCTTGGACACAAACACTTCAGGAATGTGGAGTAGGAACATGTCAACTAGGGGAGTGTTCATGTACAAATGTGTGGCCAACAATACTTATGGAACAGGAATTAGTGAAACGATTCCTGTTCGTGTGTATGGTGAGTGACTATTCTGTGTTCTGAGTTTTACTCTTAATTTTAGTTGGCATAAGCAAGGCTCAAGTGTAGGATAACTTATATTCTGTACAGTGTATGTTATTATAATGATTTAATAAATGAGCACCGTGTTAGGTAATATGTAAACTCTAGCTCAAATGGAGCCTCATTTTAGGGTTTGTTTACTTAATGAAAAGGAGAACTTGTTTAAATGTGCTACTGAGAAAGTGGTAAGTGAAAGATGTAAAATACTGATAACCTCTCAGAATCACTTGCCATATAATAAACTTTATTGTAGTTTGGGGATAAGCCCAAATGCAAAATTAGTCTATGGGTCATTTATTAAAATTATCCTGTAAAAAAATTTACCGGATCCCTGTTTTTGGATATCAATTGTATTTCATGGCTCTTTGGATTTTTGGACTTTGCAAATGTGATGCTTGTTAGAGCTCTCAAAGTTTGTCAGAAGTTCTTGCAATTGTTACTGTCATTGTTTTATGCACGTACACAACGTACTTTATTATACTGCTCCAAATAATGCTTCATATTTTCAGAAAGCATGTACTCTGCCTCCAAGAATAGCCTATGTTCTGCCTCGTTAAGGCAGGGTATAATATTTTACCTTGAGGGCATGTGTCCTTTGAAATCTTTATTTTGATTGAAATCGTCTTCAGTTTGACACCACTTAAATGTGCTTTAACATAATTATTTAGAACGATGAAATTTTCCAACCTTAAAAGGAACATTCTAAACTGCATTTTTAAATTTTATTTACTTATCGGCTATGACTAACAACAACAACAACAACTTTAATATTTATATTGCGCAAAATAAATGTAATATATGATCAAATGCGCATTACATGAAATTAAATTATCGACATTAATAAGTTATCCAGAATAAATAAAAATATCGGGGTCATCCTCGGTGTAAAAAACCTGACGAGGTTTTCTTTGTTTTATAAGGTATTGTTTTTGCTGTACGCTATTGTTTATAATGTTTTGTCTTTGTTTTACGTCACTCGTGAGTTTCACAGGTTTTTACACCGAGGATGAGCCATAAATCGCCTTAAAAGTAATTGTCATAATCTTAAATTGAATCCTAAATTCTACTGGAAGCCAATGAAGGGTATGTAAAACTGGTGAAATGTAATAAAACCTTGGAATTCTAGAAATAAGTCCTCCGGAATTCTGGAGCCGTTGTAACTTTGCTACAGTGGAACCCCTTAAAACCGGACGATTTTGGGACCGGAGGAAATGTCCGATTTAGAGAGGTGTCCGGTGTACTAAGGTTTTACCCATAGGGTAATTTTATGCAGCATAATTTACTGTCTGACCCTAAGTACGAGTACATGGTACACGAGCAGTAATAAAGCACATCAGTAAAGCAACTAACAAAATAGATCACAAGGAGGCTTTTCAATGTCATATTATTTAATCTACAAAAAAATTAAGTGTTACGCCCAGGGTTGATCGCCGCTTTTAATTAATATGTAAACTTCTTTCTTCTTTAAAATATCACGTAAAGCTGGTTTATTGATCCCAAATTTACCCCTTAGAGCCTTCAGTGTTGGTTTAGGCGCGGATTCCGCGCATTTGATCATCATCATCATCATCAAAATTATTATTAAATAAAATTATTATTAAATAAACTGTGATGATGATGATGATGATGATGATGATGATGATGATGACAACAGCGGCACGATTGTGGACTTTAGATTTTTTGCTTCAGTGCCGATAGAACAATGAGTAATTAGCCGATGCGCGTTTCTCACTTCTGATTGGGATTTCACAGGTGTATGATTACAATTTTAGTTTTAATCTCAATTTTAAACGTGTGATTTGATTTTGACCGCAAGCTTAAAACTTTCACGTTCGGTTTAACGAGATCAATTTCTTTGTCAGTATGTGATAACGGACGACTGAAAAAAGCGTCCGATTTCCGGAAGTGAGGGGTTTCGGTTTATTGAGGTTAAAAATAGAGAAAATGTATGACAGAGATTTTGGGGCCGAAAAAAAGGTCCGGTATAGAGAGGATTCTGGTTTAACGAGGGTCCGGTTTAGAAGGGTTCCAATGTATTTGTTTAGCTGGTAACCCATACAAAATACTATTACAATAGTCAATGCGCCCAATTATTAGGGCATGAACAAGTGTCCGGGTTGTTTGTTTGCTTAAATACTTTATTTGTCTTACATTTGTAATGTAATAATAGGTTGCTCTACTGACACTAACTTGAACACTCATGTACTATCTATTCATGTCCCTAAGTTCTTTACCGACTGACGGGGTGGATGACTTTTACTATGACAATTGCTTCAGTTACCGGGTATTTAAAGAAAACAATATCAATAACCTGTATTCTGGAATTATTAGAACTTCCCCTTTTTTTCAAAAGCAGAAAGGAAAGACAAATGCTGTGCTTCGGTCATTGGCTTTTCGAAAGCTGATCTTTGATCAGGGAAAGGTGACTTTCCGGATGAAAAGAGAAAAAAATCTATGCTTTTGAAGAATGCATTAAAAAAAACCTACTACCACCTAGAGTCGATCATTTTACCTTTCACTTGCATGGAGAAGCACAATATGTCGTGCTAGATGAGCAAATTTAGTTTGGACTGACAATTTGGTAGTTAAGTGGTCCCACTTTCTTGAACTTAGGATTTCATGGAAAACAGCACTGTAAGGAAGAGGCACAGCGGGTTTGATGAATTTTGTTTTGTTCTCAAGACGGCCTTTTAAACTTGGTGAAAAAACGAGAAAAAAAGAAGAAAAGAACGAATTCAGTGATCCTAAGGAACGACGAAAACAATGTAAACTCAACGAGAGGAAATCCTAAGTGACCTTGGCAAAAAATGTTCACAACGTAATATTCCATTGTTTTGTTCCTCTGATATTCACGAGCATGTCAGTATTTATCCACAGTTCGTTAGTTTCCTGTTTCATATTTATTTATTTCACTTATTAAAAATTAATTGATTGCCAGATACCCGAAATTGTCGTGTGCACTTTTCCGACGACCTTTCTGGAAACAGTAGTATTTACAGTGCATACTATGCTTTATAGCGTGATTCTAAAAAAAACCGTTCTATCTAGCAAAACCCGGCGAGAAGAGCTTTTTGAGATGCATCGATGGGACAGTTCTTATTTCCAGTATGAGATTTGTTTGTTTCTCGCTGAACAAGGTAGTAGTTATCTAAACTAGGCACATTTTGTTTTTACTGGATGAGCTGCATAAAAAAAAAGCATTTATATGTACGTGTTATTGACCAGGCGTAAGGTTAAGATGGATGGATATTGGCAAGTTTCAGTTTTTTGCGTTTTTATGGAACGAGACGAAGTCGAGGTTCATGAAAACGCAAAAAATTAACGAGACCAATATCCAGCTATCTTGACCGAGCAAGCTTGGTAAATAAAGGATTAATAAATGAGCAATACGATTTCCCTTTAATAAATATGAAGGATGTCTTGTTTATTTCCAGAGCCGGAGAAAAAAAAAAAAAACCAACTCTGTTAGCCGCACAATAAACCCACGAGAGTCGTTTATTTTTTCCTTTTTTTATTACGGTGTTCTGCCCCCCTTGTACGATTTATCGCCGACATATTTCAAAAGTTACAAACTTTGTAAGTCCGTCCCATACATTTTTCTTCTTATTCGGGATCAAAGCGGGCAATCCCGCGCGAGCAAGATGGGTAAATCTTGCCGCTCGAGACTCCACTTAGAACACAGGACTCGGTTCATATAGCCCACGGTGCTTCCAGCTATATAATGAATAATAATTGTTGGTTCTTGATCCCTAGTGCCTCCATCCATACAAGAAATAGACAATCTGACAATAACTGAGGGGAGTGATATGACTTTGACATGTCAGATATCTGGAGACCCTCCACTAGAGCAGTTTTGGATAAAACCTGATGGTCAGCGTGCTACCACAAATGTCTTGACGATTAAAAACATTACAAATGGTGAAGCTGGGGAATACAGATGTGAGGCCACTAATGATTGTGGGACTGTTTCACGGACAGCATGTGTTGACGTGCAATGTGAGTATATATGTTGTACATTAAAGTCAACATATACTAAAACTTAGGCATCTTCCAACAAGTTTTTCTCCCTTGTTTCATAAGAAGTAATTTGATATAACAGAAACGGCCATGTCTTATTTCAACACGGCTTCAAGGATATGTTCTTTATATAAAGAAGGCAAATTTTGCTTTTATCTTGAGCTCCAAACGGTCTTTGTTAATCGGGATGGAACGGAAAAGTAAATTTGAATGGTTTGAAACCTCTCAGCTAAACTGGACAAGAACTTTTGGCCAAAGTGTAACTGCACAAGTCTTGTTATGGATGCACGACCTTTCTTACTTAAGTATATTTACGATAGTAAAGCTCCTTATGAAGAAGGTAGGAAATGCGCCCGCGATTTATTATGACAAGAATCACCGATTACTCTGCTACTTTGTTAGATAATATATTTTTTACAACTTCTCGAACCAGCAGACAATTGCTAGTACCTCAGTCTACGACAGTACTGATCATCTTAAATTGTTTCTGACTTCTTAATTATTCAATATCCTTCTCTGCCTTATTTCAACACATATCTATACACGGGATTACTCCATACTTGATCAAGTAGCTCTGGTCAATGAGAAATCCCTTCAGAATGGCATGACCTTACTAGCTTGTTTGACGCATGTCATGCTACTATATCACAAATTATTGATAATCATATCCCCTTTAAAAAAATTTCAATAAATGCAGTTGCTATATCTACTGAGAAACATCGAATCCCTACATTTGTAATAAAGCTCTAATGTATTAAAGAAGTATCACTTTTATTTTAGTTAAGCCAGAAAATGTCACCTTGAAAACGAACACAACAAATAACTATGGCTGTTCTGTTATGGGAGTAAAGTTTACTTGCCACTCATCTGAAGCCAATCCACCAGTCCATAATTACATACTCATTAAGAATAATTCGGAGGTAAGTTTCAGCAAGGAGGGAACATGGATGGAAAGGATATCGAGAGAAGAAACATTTGTTTACAAATGTGTGGCATGTCAGCAAGTTGGTAATGTGACAAGCAGAAACAACATTACTTTGACTGTTGGTGGTAAGTTTTATCTCACCTACAACATTTGAGGAAACAACCGCTATTTTGAAAATAAATTAGATGGTTGCCTTTTAATTTACAATTAATCACCAAAGGCGTAGTGGATATTATTGACTATAGTATGAATGTACATAGTAAGCATCGTCTGATTGGTCAATTCAGTTTTTAAACGGATGCTTTATAAGGTTGTAGAATCCGCATCTAACTAGTTACGTCATGGTACAATTTTTTTCGGGCTCTATAACGTTAACGTGATAAAGCCAAGCGGGATGTTGGAAGAACACGAGGAAAGCATATATATCTTAAGCCGAAGGCATGTATCTTATAAGCTTTATATTCTAATTCGCTATCCCGCTCATACGAATATAAAACATTTATATATCATTCAATAAGTAACCACAACTGGGGTGTGTCAACACGAGCCGTATGCGACCTTCTTCATTATGCCTTCATCAACAAAATTCAGTGATAGGAATGATACATCAACAGAATGAAAACCTGGAGATGAAAAAAAATACAGCAAGAAAAACCACCCTAGAAAAAAATCTAAAATATGCTTGTGTTTGTAGAAACTACTTCTAAGAGAAACTGATAATCCATAGTCACCGGGTATTTAATTTTCAGTGCGTAGGGACGGTCGTAAGACGCGCTAATGAAACAATCGTAACAACATACGATGTGACACCCCAAAGAAAGGGTTACGCAACCCATGATAAATAGATTTCCTCGTTTTCTTGTTGTAATTGTCTTTATTACTCGCATCAAGATATGCAGCTAGTCCGCAATAGTTTCACAGGTTAAGTTAATACAATCACCAGAAACTTGATATTTTTCTTTCTTAAAGCATTACATCAAACTTAGCAGCATCTTTTGTGCGCTTCAGAACTGCGTTTTCCTCTATGGCGTTCATCAGTAACATTATAATGGTATGAGGTCGATAGTGCCAATTTATAGAGCACTATTCGGCTTATCTTTCATTGCGCTTTACAATCATTATGCCAAAGTAAAAACTAGAATTTGAAAATACCATGATAAACTTACATAGCTAAAAAAGTATAAATACAGATGTCAGAAATAAAAATTATGAGTTATAAGCTTCTTTAAAAGGATAAGTCTCTAAATTCCTTTCAAGAAACCTACGTCTGGTCCAAGAAATAACCTCTAGAATAAAAATCGAGTGACTTTTTAATTTTCTTAAACAAAAGGAGAATGCTTTTAACCACTTAGATTTATTCCTTTCAGGCCCACCTGCAATGGAACAGGTACAAAACGCAACAGTCATAGAAGGTACAGATTTGACAAAGGAATGTAGTGTGACTGCAGGGACTCCTCCCTTAACTGTTTTTTGGAAGAATGTTAATAGCGGTCAGGTCATTCCAGGAAAACTCTTGAACATCACTAACATCACAAGATATCAAAAGGAACACAGATGCATTGCAAACAACAGTTGTGGAAGTGTTTGGACAACGATGTTCATTTATGTGCAGTGTAAGAATTTACTTTTTCAGCCTTTTTAATGGATTAATTTTTCAACGTAACACTTGAAGATGTTTTTTCTTGTCAAATGAAACCTTTCTTAACCCATCATTATAGATAATATCGGTGCAGAAAGACCCTTTTCTTGTAACTCAACTTCTAGTAGATTTAAATAAAAGAGCATTACTTCACAAAAGTTACAGTTGTGACAAGAATGAACTAAAGTTTCTTTTTCATTGTCAGTTAAACTGTTTGCTCGTTTAGTTTATCTTATTCAATAACATCTTTCTTCACTTCTTTATCTTACCTTTTCTAATCTAGATAAACCAGCAGCCACCTATTCCAGCGCAACCATTAGATTAAAGTCCGGAGAAGACGGGTCTATTGATTGCCCAGTGGATATTGGAAACCCCCCTGCTGTCATCACGTGGTATAAAGGAAATCATACCAATTGCAATAAAATTGCCACCAACTCGACCTTGAAGGTTCAGAATGCTTCTTCAAGTGACGAAGGACGGTATACCTGTTTTGCAAAAAATGCACTGGGAAATACAACTATCAGTTTGTTACTACTGGTTGGTGAGTTGAATAGGTTTTAGTACATGATTGTGCTATTACTGATAACTGAAACTGAGTCTTCGAATGGTGCAGCATACTCAGGTCTGCCTCAGCATTCTAAAGTAAAGATAAGACTTTTTTTCTTAATTCGTGAGCGGGCTGTAATCTACAAATCCTGCAATCTGATTGGTTGCGAGAGCAGGCAGCATTCTCTCATCCGGCCCGCTCACAGCGGGCGGTATCCTATCCGTTGCGTGTTTAGCCGCCTAGCACACCCCTAGCTTCGTTGCAAACTTTCATGAATATATTTTGTTTTACTAGCTGGTCAGCATTCGTAAGCTGAGATTTCAACTACGACCTTCAGCCGATAAATAATTCTAATTATTCTTTTCTCAGTTCGTGAGCGGGCGGTATTCAACGAATCCTGCAATCTGATTGGTTCCCACAGCGAGCAGTATTCTCCCCATCCGGCCCGCTCACGGCGGATGGTATCCGTTTCGCTTGAGTCAATGCTTATTGCAGAACATCTCAAGCTTCGTTGCAATTTTTCACAAATATATCTCATTTTGCCTGCTGGGCAGAATTTTTGAGGAAAGACTTTTGTCACGACCTTTTGGCGATAAATAACATTAGTTCTTTCTTCTCTCTCGCTCTCAAATCACTTTGGTTTTTCGGCAAAAATTGATTTCGAAATAAATTTTGTTGTACTACATTTGTTTATAAAAAGACTGAAACGCAGCCGAAAACGATTTGTTATTTAATAATCCTTCACATAAAGTAACTCAGAAAGTTAAAACGAGAGGTAGCTATAGTTAACGGTGACGTTAATCAACGTGACTCTTAATCGTTAATATCTGAATTCTTCAACACAATTGGTTCGTTTGTGAAACGTTCAGCGAAATTTTGAGTTCTTCTATATATCTATGGCGCGTTTTCAGGGTCAAAATTCAAATTCTTGTTGCACTTCCTTCTGAATTCCGAATTCACACCACTGCATGACAATTGCATTCACAAAATAACCCTGTTATAGGATTTTAATAAAAAACAAGCCATCGTCTACGTTTTTGAAATAAAAAGTACACGTTTCGATTTCACAAAAAAGTTTTCCCGTATTAAGAAAAGTAAACAATTTCAAAAATATTCCCCCTCCGATAGTTTTTACAATATTCTATGTCGTGTGTGTACGTTTGATGGTTTAAAATATATGTGATTTTGTTCAATACATTCGATAAACTTGTAGTAAAATTCGATAAATTACCTTGATATTCATTCGATAATTCAAACAATATTCATTCGATAATACATGCAATGTTCATTCGATAATTCAAGCAATATTCATTCTATAATGCAAGTGACCTATCTTCCGTATTTGGGATAGAAGGCTTGGCTACTGGTTGTCTAAAATGGCGGAACAAATTGAATGGGAGTCTTTGGCGCTTAGCCTGCTCAATTTACTAGATAGATGTGAGATAGATTCTGAAGAACTAACATATCCTATCGCAGCCAATCTATTCAATGGTGTTGAAGTGGCTCTTTCAATTATTATTTTTATGGCCGATACTGTTAATAATGAACGACAGCTTTTGTTTCTTGAGCTTCGCGAATGCTTTTGCGAGATTCACCGATACGTACTGGTGGCAACAACTCACTGAAATGGAAAGAAGGACAACCAGTGCTGTAGACTTCGGGAAGTCGTCATGTAGCTACGGGGCACGTGATAATATCGAATGACTGTAGCTTGAATTATTGAATGAATATAGCGTGTATTATCGAATAAATTTTGCATGAATTATGGAATGAATATTGCACAAATAATAATACAATAATAATAATATAATAATAATATAATTATAATACGTATGAGAACGATCCTTCGCAGTAAAGCACTATTTGAGCAATAGTGAAAATCAGACCTGAAAAAAATTTCAGGCCTGTACGGGACTCGAACCACTGACCTCTGCGATACTAGTGCAGCGCTCTACCAATTGAGCTAACAAGCCAACTGGGAGCAGGCCATCAAATTAATTCGATATAAACCCGTAGATGATAAATCAAACAACAACAAACATATGAAACATATGTGTGAACTGCGGTTATGAGACGTATATGAGAACGATCCTTCGCAGTAAAGCACTATTTGAGCAATAGTGAAAATCAGACCTGAAAAAAATTTCAGGCCTGTACGGGACTCGAACCACTGACCTCTGCGATACTAGTGCAGCGCTCTACCAATTGAGCTAACAAGCCAACTGGGAGCAGGCCATCAAATTAATTCGATATAAACCCGTAGATGATAAATCAAACAACAACAAACATATGAAACATATGTGTGAACTGCGGTATGAGATGTATATGAGAACGATCCTTCGCAGTAAAGCACTATTTGAGCAATAGTGAAAATCAGACCTGAAAAAAATTTCAGGCCTGTACGGGA